CACACACACACACACACACACACACACATATATATATATATATATATAGAGAGAGAGAGAGAGAGAGAGAACATAACTTCAATGATCTTCGTATATGTTCTTATCAGCATAGTTTTAGGACTGTTCTGTTCATCAGATCCATGTAAGTAGGTAGCAAGATATGTGTACAGATAGCGTACAGTGTTAGTCGTTTCATTCTTAGTTTCATCACTGTACTAGTACATACAATAGTACTGTTACGTCTCCGTTCGTTAGTTAATTTTCCGTAACTTCGTTCCAACGAAACTTTAGCGACACAAGTCCTTTCTTAAATAAAATTGGTTTATTCTTTCTGAATATAACTTTGCGATACACTTAATTTCAACAGTCGCGCTATAACAACGAACGTCTCACGTGCTCACTGCTGACTGCAGTTCAATTACTCACTGTTCCCCCGTCGCTTCGTGGCCAGTCTTATATATACAAGACTACACTACATCTAGTAATCTCCCGATAATTCATGAAGGTTCGAGAAGGAGTGGCGCGATACTAGTCACGTGACCTCGCTGACGCAACGGCACCTTTTTTTTAAACAGATTAAATACATATAGAATATAGAATGTCTAAATGTGCACCCTGTAAAGGAGAATTAATCACAAAATATGTTCCAGTTTATATAACAGTTGCACTTAAGTAAGATTATTTATCAGTTCTACTTCTACTCTGTCCAGATTGTTTTATATTTATGTTGTATGTATTCATATAATAATTTGATTTATATTCCTTAGGGCTTCTATCTCTACCTGTATGCAGGTAGTTTGATATTTTTGTTGTTCATCAATGTTTACCCAGTACATAATAAAGAAACTTCGCTTGCCACATCTGCGAATGTTGTGCGATCCTCCATAATGAACAGCTTAAGGAAATTTGGTCACAGATGGGAAACGGAAGACACCAAAAATCAAAGATCCAACAAGACTTACAATTCATACAGTGTGAAAAGCCACGGAAGCTTTTTCCTAAGGATTGGAGCAATAGGTTATTATGAGAGTAGTTATAATTTTAAAGATAAATAGAATGCAACCATGAAGTACTACCATGTAACGTAAACGAACAGTTAATACATTTGTATCATAACAAGTTAGCTAAATTCATTGTTGTTTGGGAATAGTTTTATAGAATTATTCCATGATTTATAGACATAATTAGTCTCTCCATCTTTGATAAATTATACGATTATTGACCAATACTGATTTTCTAACGTAATATTTATACATAAAAAGTTTGTGTTTTCGAATTTAAGACAAAGAAATGTGATATACGTTATTAAATCAGATATGGAGATTCCTTTTCTTTGTTTCACGAGTAATAGGAACATACAAGTTGATTTTTTATAGTTGCTTCTCAAATCGATACGGTTAGTTGCCATGACGTTGGCATTATCTTCGGTGTCGTCTCATTTTGTTACACGACGATATAATCAAGATCAAGAATGATATAAAAATAATTTATCTTTGTGTTAGTTTCACAGATGACATAACAACGCTGCCAATTTTCAGTCTTTACAGTTCACTGATCCAAAATTAATAACAGTTTTAGCTTTAACAACATAAACCAACAGTTTTGAGAACATTTTACAAAATGTTGTTCCCAATGGTAAGCAAATTATCTCATTTATGTTATTATTTGTCTTACCTGTTGCAGTATGCTAAATCCATCTCAAGACCGTTACTCTAGTTACGCTTGCCATCCTACACATGTCTAATATAGCTCACAACGTTTTACATTTCTGTCTCTCGAAAGTATTGCTTGTTTGTTTGTAATTAAGCACAAAGCTACACAATGGGCTATCTGTGCTTTATCCACCGCAATGTATCGAACTCCGGATTTTACGTTGTAAATCTGTAACCTTACCGCTAGTTCCCGGAAAATTTGAAGGAACGACTTCTGGAAAAATAAATATATACATTTTAACAATTTGACAGCGGAATTTAAAATCCTTAATTTCAAAGATATAACATATTGATATTAACTCAGCATTTTTTGATAGAATTTATAAAATATACAATGAGGCAGCCAAAAATTGAACAACTTTAACAACTTACTTAAAGACGAAATTCAAAAGTACACATACGAGAAGATAAAGAAAATATCTTAGGCTATAAAAGCTAGTAATCAGACGTCATTTTTTTTCAATAAAATGGTAATAAATATTTGAATATGTTCTCTATATAGTACAGTAGGCGTGTTTATATCACGTCAATTCTATAATTACATATCATATATGAGAAAACTGAGTGAGAAAAAGCGAGATATTAATGATTGTTCGAAATATTCCAACATATTTTCAGCCTTTGGACTAGGAACAATGATTTACAATGGACTGGAGTTTGGAAAGTTCTTCGAAATCCCAGTTACATCTCCATGCTATAGCATTCTTCTTGGTGTGAATCCTGTTGTCCAGATGATATTCACATTCTTCCAGATGCATTTTATATTTGTAAATACTAAAGTAAGTACACAATGTATAATAATCAGTCCAGTAGGAAACACATTTTATTGTAGAATTTTGATAGAAATAACTGTAGATATAAATATAGTACTTGCATACGTTTATAAATTAATCGACTTCAATATAACTTGTCTTTGTTTCTAAAAGAAATAATTTTCCAAGTATCGTCCAGATAAGAGAGAAAAAATCATATGCAAACTTAAAGATATCCAGTAAAAGGTTAGTTTGGGGGTGGTGAGCTTAGTATTATTTTTCTGGTGTAGCAAATTTTGTCGAAAAGGAAACCAAAGCCTGAACAAGTATGTAATAAGTGTTGAAGATTAGGATAATCTTAGCTTTCAAATTTTCTACATTAATTCAGCAAAGTCTCAATTATAATTAACAAATTATAAAAACAAAATCTCTGTCATTCATATTTTTATTAATGTAATCTCTACAAGAAAACATAAGTTATCGAGTGTTGTTGTGCTTGTTTGTGCCACTCTAGAAGTAATTCCAATTAATCGGTCAACCAAACACTGTCATCAGTAAGCGCCGATTATACTACAAAATACAAGTCATTCGTGTAAAGGTTTTTATAACTTGTATGTTACCTATTCACATATTGTTTTTCTTCTTTACTACCTACTCTATTAGTAAATATAAAAAGAAGTAATGTGAATTTTCAGCTCAACATACAGAGGTTGAAGGTGATGGCAAGATTTGGTCTAATGCATATGGTAGCAACAAACATATGTGTGTGGGTGCGAACATTGGGCAAAGAAACTCTTTACGAAATTTCAACACAGCTGATGAAAAATGGCAAAACCAATCTTATGGAAGAGTTGATAGTGTCAACCAGAGGTAAAGAAATAATTTTCATCCTAAAATATGTTTCATTTTGTTTCATGTTAAACATCAAAACACTTAACTAAAAATAATTTCTTATTCAATTATTCCTCGTACATTAATGTACTACACGGGGAAGATGAAATAGTTAAACAGCAGTATGGGTTATTAATTAAAGATCTTAAATCATTCGATATTTTATTCCGAGTAATATTCCATTGAAAGATTACGTTAACTATTTGAATTGAAAGAGTAATGAACAAGTTATGAATAAGCAATATTTTCTATTTACTGCGTATAGATTATAAATGCAGCGTGTCTTATTATTCTGCAAGTCCTTTGTGTGTTTTTTTACATAATTTGTTCTATAAATCTAGATGGAAATCTGAGAGTAAACTCGATGTCATTTATCAAATCTTTACAAAATGTATTATTTCTTTCTAATTTCAGATAATAACACCAAGATAAACAGCACCAATATATGCCAGAAAACAGACATAATTGGGAACATTGTGTCACAAGCGTCTCCATTTCTTTACCCTTTCATCGTGGAATTTAGTCTGATTGGATCGGCAGTTCTCTATGTGATGTGGAAGAACATAGGCAAGAACCCTGCCCTCGTAGTAGAAACGAAGAACAATGCAAATTTTGATGGGCCCAGTGCTCGTAACAGCACCAGAATGAATTGTGTTGGAGCGAGTAAAGGATTGTTTTTAGGCTTGCTAGTTTTGGTTATATGTTTGTGCTGTCTGATTGCATTTTTTGTGCTAGTTCATCACGAAGAGCATAAAATCTTAGCTATTTACTTAGGAGACGCATCACATTGTGCTCTTCTAGTTCTGAACATCATTTCTGTTATTGTGGGGTTTATTCAGATAAGAACTTTGAAGTATCTTCCTGACCGTAAAGAACAGTTTAGCAGCATCCTGCTAGTTATAACAGGCTTTGGGCTGTATTTATATGCTGTTTTCGGGATTATAGCAGGCTCTTTATCATCTATTTACTTTATTCCCAACGTACTAGTTCTGATAATCAGTGGTCTAACTTTGTTCCAAGCGATCATACAGTCTTTATTCATCTCAGATGTCGTCTGTCGATCGACATATTTACCCGAACACGATAAACAGAAGCCTGGAAGGCAAGTGATTACATTTTTGATTATCAATAATCTTACCCTCTGGATAATCTACACTTTGCAAATGCAGAAAATGGAAGCCAGTCCAATTGAGCTCAACTTTTTTGGTATGTGGGGTTGGACGCTTATTGTTCGAATCACACTTCCTCTTGCCATCTTCTACAGATTTCACTCTGCTGTTACATTTGCTGACGTTTGGAAAAACTCGTATAAAAACATCTATTCGTAACGCATGCCTTAACATTCCACTTCCGTGAAATACTTGTGTTTGTTTGTAGCTAAACATAAAGCTAAACGATGGGTTATCTGTGCTCTGCCCACCACGGGTATCGAAACCCGGTTTCTAGCATTGTAAAAAATAATTGTGAATTACGTCGTTTTTATCATACTGTTTGACAATTGAATCTAACTGCAGGGGCTTAACCAGTATTAAAGAGTAGTTTGGGGGGATATTTTTTCATAACAAAATGAGTGTCTTTTATTCTACACAGATAATTGAAGGGATTTATATGGAACTCAAATGTTTAAGTTTTTTAAATCAGAAGATAGCGGACCTTTCAAACTTTTTAGAATATAGGGGTGGTCGTTCGAACCTTCCTCCCTACTGGTTATGCCACTGAATTGATTTTAAAATGATCTTAATTACATTTGTAGCCTGAAAGAATGGAACTTTGTAAAATTATAATGTATTTACAATTTGTAAATCTTTATCAAAGAACTAATTGATATATTCGCAGAATATGTTTTATATGAGAACAATTTAAGTAGGATTTTTTTTTCAAATATAAGTAAAGTATTTACTGTACAACGTGTACCAAGAACTAAAATAATCTTTTCAATTACTCGTATTATTAATACCATAAAAGGCCCCAGTGGCACAGCGGCATGTCTGCGGACTTACAACGCTAGAAACCGGGTTTCGATACCCGTGGTGGGCAGAGCACAGATAGCCCATTGTGTAGCTTTGTGCCTAATTTGAAAAAAACAAACAAACAATACCATAAAAGATATATTTTGGCATGAAGATACATTTAATAATAATATGTCAAATGTGTATATAGTCACAGTACATTTGTAAATGTTTATAATGTCAAACTTCCTAAGCCAAAAGGAAGTCAAATTTTAACTTTAACCTAAGCATATTGATTTCCTTAAACAAGATGAACAATTAATTAATACAAATTCTTCTTGAAGAGAGTATGTCAGCTATACGTTTCTAAACTATGTTAGGCAACTAACTTATTTGGTTGATAGATTAAAAATAATCAATACTGGATTGTAAACTGGTTTTAAATGTGACATTTTTTTAATGACTATCATATAGATTGAATTATGACTGTCTGTAAGAAGAGAAGGCTAGGCCTGGTTATAGGTCAGCGTTTGAAAACACAGCAGCATGAAATGGGTATTTAATAAAATGCATTTACAGCACAGATAGCTAATTGTGCAGCTTTGTGCTCAACTAATAAACATTATTTATATGGATAATTGATTTTGTTTAATCAGTTAAATCTGCATAATTGGTCGATTCGTGCATAAATCTGATAAACTGTATAAATCGCATAAATTGCACAAGTAAGAAATTTCCGTAAATCGTTTGTTCCTTCCATCGCAAAGCTACACAATAGGCATACTGCGCTCTTTCCACCGTGGACAATCGAACCATACATTTTAGCGTTGCAACTCCGTAATCTTACTGTTGACCCAGCAGAGGACTGCATAAATCGTATATCATATTAATTACAGTCCTATACCACCCAAGGCAGAAAACATTCGCTTCACATACGCTTCGTCTCCCGTACCTTATGAATCTCACCAAAGCCGGGAAATTCCACAGAAAATACGGTGCATTTCTTGGTATATTTTGCACAAACGTATGAAGTAATGTCACGCTACTTATCAGCCTGAGAAGTATTCACGAGGAATAAAAATCGACCCACAGTTACTCACGAGAAGTTAATCCTAGGATCGATTGCAGGTGATAAGTAAATAGTCACCTCAGCCATTTTGATCAACTTGTAAATTTATTTCATTTGCTTGGAAGAATCTAGAAAGTTGAATAGTGGGAAACCCCTCTTGAACCTACGGGAAATCTCTCCCCAAATATCTTAAAGCTTGATCGTGAACAGATTGCTCAATGTAATTTGAGATATTCCAAATTTCTGGTAAACCATGAATCAAAACTACGTCATTTTTTTTAGAATCTAAGGGTGCGCTACGACTCACACACCCCTCCTCTCCCATTTCAGGTTACAAAACGCAACCCTGCGGTAAGGCATAACATTGAGTATTTTAGAGTTGCGTCTAACACACCCACCCCAAAAATATTTTGTATTATTATTTTCAAAGAAGTCAACAAAAATACAGCTGTGGTACAATTAAGGAAAGTAAAATAAATCTACCAAAAATCTAAGGACATTTCTGTCTTTCTCTTTTTACCAGTTAATTCCGCTTTTCTTCTCAAAAGACAATGTCTACGAGAAGTTGCTCCTAGTACCCCCCTCTTCCCGTAGGTACCACCGTTAGAAAGGGCTCCCCCCCCCCGAAATTGTCAGAAAAGATTGATGGTGCACACACATTAAAATAAAACGAAGACGAAAACAAATGTCCTATAATCAATATATACAAAAATGTATAGTTTTAGCTCCATTCACTTGATAACTTTGTACCATGGCAAATGAAATTTTGCTTCATTTGTCTTTCACACATTTATGACATATGTTATATCACAATTTTTTAATTATATAACAGGAAGAATATGTCACACTAATTTTTCTACTTAAAAGTGAGAATTATATGCATTGCATGTGTTTATGTTTATCTCTTTCAGGTTTACTTTTAGACTGAGTTTGATGAAGACTTAAATGGAATTTTAAGATTTTTTAATTTAAGACAAGGCTCAAGAAAAAACATGTATTTTGCTACAGCGATTCGGTATTTAAGATCTGAATCTCTAGCCAGTAACTTCAAGTTCTTGAAGTGTTGTCGATATTGTATATTAAACATATAATCTTTAATTAACTGAAAAGGGCTGGAGGTATGAAGAATTAAGATTGTTTTAGAAGTTTAAGGTATATACATATCGCACAATAATAAAATTATACAAACAACACCTGTATATTTCATTCGTTCATTTCAACTGAAATCCTTCAGGAGTTAAAATTACAAATGTTGTCTCTTAACTAATTTACACTATATTACTAAACTTGTTCAGTTAGGACACTAAGCTTGTATTGGGCTTAATTGGTACTTAATGACCATAGAAAGAGAAGTTTTTATTGGAAGCAGCTGGTAGTACTAGTGATCGACACATTTCAGTCCACCTTCTCATTCTCTTGCGCAAAATGCCGAGAGAAATTTATACTTACTGGAGGTGATATTGTGAAAAATCATCCCGACCACCCCAAGTTCATGCTCAGTTTGAATTGCGTTTGTGAGATTAAAGTACATAGCTGACATTAAATCCACCACCCAGAACTTACTGATTGTTCAGGACTGCGCACCCACTTGGTATGAATGGGCTACAGCTAATAAGCTGCTTATCTCAGCCATAATTGCAAGTTATGGGTTCATAGTTTCTTAAAAGTCAAAACTGAGGTAAGAACAATGGAAAACTATTATGTGAAGAGAGAAGTCCCACGACTCATTGCTTGCTTCAGCTATACAGTTGTGACTTGGAATATTACTGCGATTTCCCAACCAACTAAAGCGGTGAAGGAAGGTAATACCGTGATTTGGTCTTGGTTTATTGGTAATAGATGCCTTAACGTGTCGTGATGTTCTGAATAGTTCAGCACTATCTTCATCTCTACCACTTTCAACATGATGACGCACCATGCCATATCACATGTTATGTCCAGCAGCGATTTGAGACCAACAGTATTCCGATCCTGCCTTGACCTTCTCAGAGTTCCTACCTTTAAACCTCTTTAGAAACTATGAAAAGCTGTCCGAGGAACATTGTGCTTTTTCTTACCAGATATGAAAATTTCCCATTAGCGTAACATTGAAACAATATCTTTTTTAGTGGTGCTATGTATTACGCTTAGTAAACACCCTACCAAATGACCGAGTTAACACTCTTATTTCCAAAATTACCTATTTGAAGTAATGAAATTAAAAGACGTGAAAAAGGAAAGAAATTTTGAAATTTTATAACGTTTTATCTGTGGTCTTAATGTTCTTGATTATGCCTTGTGTTTATAACTGTACTGTTTCATTTTGACATTACTCCTTTTTGTGATAAAGTTGCTGAAAGTAAACGAACTGAACACAGTGTAACATGCATGCATTGTATGCAAGATTGTATAATTGGCACAATGCTATGTACTTATTGTACTTCTTTCATTGTTCATGACTAGAGTGACCAGACGTACAGTTTTGTCAGGGCAATCACGTTTATTGGTAGTTTGTCCCAGTGTTCCGAGAAAAGCTCTCGGACGCATAAAGCATCTCGGTTTTATGATAAAGATATCAAACTGTCTGTAACATCGAACCTCGAATGTAATAGGCCTATTTGATTTGCCCATTGTTGTAACACGTATTTTCCTGCCACTAAACCCTTGAAAGTTCCGTCTGTGCGTGGCGGGAAACCCAGGTTTGAAAACGGAGACAGTTAAGGCAGTGCTCACGGTCAAAACAGACTTTCAGTCATGTACAAAATTTTATGAATATTTAATTAAAAAACAAAAAAGAATTTTACGTTACTTTTCTTCTTCACAAAAATATGTTTAAAAAGTTTCAAAGTAATGCTAAATCCTAAAAATAGTATGTTTGAAAACATTATATATATTATAGATTCTTAAATACATCCAGGCTTATTTTAAGATGGATTGGATAAAGTGAATAATTAACGATTTTTTGGAATATAGTTTAAATATTTTTGCTCATTTGTTTTTTCTGTCACCAGAAAAAGAAGTCAAAATTATTTCTAAAACAATGTCAATATATTTGGAATTTGTGGAACAGTTCAAGAAATTTAAAGTCAATTAAATAACAGGCAAGTTATTTCAAATTTGTAACATTTTGAAATTAGGTGCAAGGGCTGGGCTGTCCCGGTTTTTCCCCAATAGCTTAAGTGAAACGTTGTTTATAAACGTAAATCACAGAGATAATACAAAAACTAGCTCGAAAGGAAAAAAAAAATCTAAGAAATGCCACATACATGTTAGCATTGGCGTATCCAGGAATTTGAAAGGGGGGGCAAGTCTCAACATTCATTCTTGCATATAATTTCTATTTATTTTTATAATATTTAAACTATTATTTCCTTTACATTGGTTAAATGAGTGTCATAACATGCCGGTTTATCGACGTTATTCAGCTACAGGGAATCGCGACTACGCTGAAGT